CATATCCAGAATATAAAAAGAGCTAAAAAACCCTAAACCTCCAAAATAAAAATATAATGAATAAATGGGCAAAGAAGCTAATTAGATGCTTCTCAGAATTAAAAATAACCAATAAATACATGAAAAGATATGGAATATTTTTAGACATAAATGAAATACAAAACAACACTAAAATTCCATCATTCCACAGTAAGAATGCCCTTCATTAAGAATATGAGCAACAAAAATGCTAGCAAGGATATAGGGAAAGGAACATTCTTAACAGGAACATACAGAGGTGAGATGAAAACTTAATATATTTGATATAAAAAGGGGGGTAAACAGAAAGTTATTGCTGGGAAATAACAGTGTTTCACTTCAAGTGACTAAATGTGCACAACTGCTTAGCAAAACAATCACTGTGAAGGACAGTGGGTTGATTGGCCTCTCAATTTCATGAATATGTTACGTTGAAATGTAGGTAATTTTCTTTGTTGCAGAAGTGATTAAAGCTTCAGCAGATGTTGGGGGTTGCCGATATAGCACTTAACACACGAAGGATATCCTGCACAGTACCCTTGGTGATGAATGCCTGACAGTGGAGCCGCATATTACAGTTATGTATGAGACACAGAAGTTCGGTCCTCTAGATGTGGATGATTATAGGATGTCTTTCAGTGTTACAGGTATGTTTTGTCTGTCTCTAGTAGTTAGGAATAATCATGTTTAATTTGAATTTTCTTAATCATCAGTATTTACCCATATTAAATACATGAAGATGAAAGAGATTCTTTTTCTTCCTAACAAGACATGAAATGCAAGCAAGCTCTTCATTTTGGCCCTGATCAGCATCCAAGCAAATAACAGATGAAAAGGTACCCAATGTGGATGAGACTTAAGGTAAAACAGTGATAGAGGCATTCTATAACATTTAAGAATAAATAAGTAATGAGGTATTGAAAGTATTTGGAGTGGTGCTAAACTATGTGAGGAATGTTGGGGCTTACTAGGGCAGCAAACTAAATTCAGCCTGCTGTGTACTGTGTACTACTGGAAAAGGTACAGCTCGCTCTACTATATATGACAGGTTCCCTTTAGGAACCTGTGGTTGTGCATGCTGTTTGCTGATGGAGGTATACAGCAGATCAGTTGAAGATCTACCCTTGACTCAGGTTGATGTTGATTTCTCTTAAGACTTGGGAATCCTTAAGATACTTCTAAAACTCCTTAGGGTACTTTTTATCCATCCTTCAACAGTAAACATTTACATCTCTGAGTTTATTTATTTGAGTGTGTTCTCTTCCTTTTCTGATAAGATTTGCTAAGGATCTGTCAGTTTTGTTAATTTTTAAGAAGAACCAACTCTTTGTTTGTTGATTCTTTCTATGGTTTATTTGGATTCCAATTCATTTAATTCTGATTTAATTTTAATGATTTCTTCCCTCTACTGGATTGGGGTTTATCTTGCTGCTCTTTTTCAAGGAGGTTCACATGTCTCATTAAATTGTTGGTTTCAGATCTCTCCAATTTGTTGATGTGGGAACTCAGAGCTATAAACTTGCCTCTGAGTACTGCCTTTGCTGTGTCCCAGAGGAGCTGGTAATTTGTGTGCTCATTTTTGTTGAATATCATGAACATTTGAATTTCGTTTCTAATCTCTCCTATGACCCACTGGTGATTCAACAGTATGTTGTTCAGCCTCCATGTGTTACAGAACTTGCTTTGGTGACTTTTGATGTTGAGTTCTAATTTTATTCCCTTGTGGTCAGCGAGAATGTTTCTGAATTTGGACAAGTTTGCTTTGAAATGGAAAGACTTGGAAAAAAATTATATTAAGTGAAGGCCAGGCCCAAAGAAACATGGTTTCCCTTATTTGCAATAACTAGTATATATGTCTGAGACAAGCAGAAAAGGTCAGATAAGTTGCTGTTAGGTGAAATGAACCCCAAGATAGATATTCAAGTGTCTTTTTTTCTTTCTTGCGATTGTTTCTAACATATTTATATGATGATTTCTTTGTTGCTTTATATGTCCCTCCCCCACGGTATAACCCTGCTTTCATTGTATTTGATGTTGGTATAATTTGTGGAGGGGAAGGGCAAAAACAAACTATTTAAATAGGGATACAGGTGGACCCATTGCAAAAATGAGATGTACAAGTCGTTATGTCGAAAAAACAAACTTTACAACTTTGGCAGGGGGCCAAGGGGCTTGGGGGTTGGGAGATGGGAAGGGGAAACAAAAGAGGAGGCAACAATGCTTGATAAGAAATGTACTTATTACCTTGCCCATGTAATTGGAACCCTTCTGTATGGTATTTTCACAATAAAAAAATCAAAATTAAAAACAGTAAACATTTACAATTCAGAGGTTATAAACACAGAGTATATTTACATTTTCCTTCTTTAATGGGACAGCATACCTAAGAACCAATTTATTCTCTATTCCAGGTGAACTGGCAGTTAGCAGTTAAATAGCAGGTAAGAGCACCATTCTGGAAGTGTCTGTAAATATGTTGGAAACCTTTCCCATAATCAGATTGATTTGAATTTCCCCAAAATATAAGTATACGTATGACAATTCAGTTTCTTTCTGATGCAAAACTTTTTAAGTTTGATAAGTTTTTTCAACCCTTTCCCCTATTTTTTCAACCTTTTCCCCTATTCCCTGAGCTACTGGAGTTATATTCATGAAGATTAAAGGAATGCTGAAAACCATTACAAAATCAGTTGCTCACACATGACGCTATATGCAGCACATCCTGTAGAATGATTGTAGTCATTTTTACTATATTTAATAGAATACTTCTTTGTCTATATGGAATAAAGCACATGGAATTCTTCATCAATTGAAGAATTGAACCAGTGCATGACAGATAATATTGTAGCTCCAGGTATACTTGAGAGTAAATCCTTTTTATTAAGCTTTACTCTTGGTTTATGAATTTTTTGGGGTAAACACCAAAACAGAATTCATCAGGTTTGAAGGGGTAAGGGAGAAAGAAGTTTATCTATCAGTTTTTTATTTATCAGTTTGAATTGATAAATTCAAGGCTCATGGTCACAGAATAATATGAGCACTCCTATCTTATGGGGGTTGATAGAACTGGGTGGCACAGAACCTATACCTTCACCAGGCTGTGTGCAGTGCTTAGTCAGGGGCATCTCACTGGATAATGTAAGGTTCAAAATACATGGATGTGTTGGATTAGAGATGGTGGGGATAGATGACCAGGAACCTCTGAAATGCATACCCAAGTAGGAAATACTCTTTAACATTATTTATAATGTATACTATTTGTCTTTGAGTTGAGATAGTTTCTGGATCAGCTTATCCTTATTTTTTTATTTCTGATTTACATTAACAGAGGTCATATCATTAACATAGAGGGAGGGATTGAATGTGCTCTGGAGAGATGGTATATCAAAGGTTTCATAAATAAAAATTTCAGTGTTTAGGTGTCATGAAATATGAAACCAACGATGAATTCTGCCAGAATGATGATTGCTAGAGAACCACCTGTAGTCCCAAATGTCTGTATACAGTATCCTATTTAGAAATGTTTGGGTCACTTTTTCTGGGTCACTTTTATTGTGTGTGACTAGTACTTAAAAATGGCATTATGCTCATGAAATTCTTACAGTCTATGATTGAAAATGAAATAATAGCTCCCTTTATCATGGTATAACCCAAAAATACAAAGGTACTCGTGGCAGAAGAGAGCTAAGGTAAAGGACAATTGAGTTGTTTTTTCCTGTATCTGTGATTAAAAGGTTCATTGTTGAGGTTTGTCAGAAAGTGAATACTTCTTAAAAGAGCAGGGGATGATGGAAGTGGAGGATGCAATATTCTTTATGTCGTGAGCAGTGTGCTACTTTAAGAGGTTCTGATTATGTGGCTAAAGCTTAATTGTGACTTCTTAGAGTAGATTAATGCTCACAAAGTCCAGCGATGTGGTAGAATCTAGAGGATGAAGTTCTGTTTATATGAATAACAATCGTGACTTCTTTGGGTATATTAATGCTCACAAGGTCTAACAGTGTGATAGAATCTGAAAATGATAATATGCACCATACATGTACTTGACATGCCCACTCAGCTCTCATGAAGGCTGATAGTAAATAGCTCAATAACACATTCAGTAGTACATCTACACCATATATACTTCTGTGTAACGAAGAATATAAGAAGGACATTAAGGTTTTTTTCTTCTAATAGAAGAAAAGAAAACTATGCTTGGTTTCTTGATAGTGTCAGTCATTCAGGTAGTTGGCTATGAATATGATGTACATTGAGGAACATCTATGTTGAAGAAAAATGTGTTATTTCTTATTACAACTGAATTTAGAACTAATCAGTTTTAGGAGCAGATAACATGCTGTGATGCGTTCTTAGCTGATCAACACTTTCAGTATATTCTGTGTGTGCAAAGTGACAGAACTGTGTATGGTCAAGAAGATAAATGAGATAGGTATGTCATTGGATGGATTAAGACTCATCAAAGCTATGGTATACTTTGTCCTGTGAGTTTTTTTATAAAATAGTAGTGGAAGTGATTTCAGAAATGGTACTTTGCCTAATGGATGCCACTAGTATATATGATTCTTCAAGACAGTTTCAAATTCTGAGATTTACAGATAAAAATACACAAGTTAATATTTCAGATCATAACATAGAAGTGATTACCTTTTCTGAGAAGATAATTTTAATGTGAACACCATTATTTTGTTGTTGTTGTTAGTCATGGGGCTTGAACTCTGGGCTTGGGCACTGTCCCTGTGCTCTTCAGCTCAACACGAACAGTCTACTGCTAGAGCCACAGCACCACTTCCAGTTTTCTAGTGGTTTTTATTGGAGATAAGAGTCTCACGGACATTCCTGTCCGGGCTGTCTTTGAACTGTGATCCTCAAATCTCAGCCTCCTTAGTAGCTAGGGTTACAGGGGTGAGCCACTGGTGCCCGGCACGATTATTCTTTTGTCATCAATGTTATCACTTTAAAGAATCAAATTATGTATTGATAGCACTTGTGGTATGTCTTTGTTTAATGTGTAACAAAGACTTAAAAACAGGTGCAAACAGTAAATTCTCATTTTCAACCCAGAACTCATTGATGAGTATGAGTTTTGGACATATAATGAGGAACATGCTACCATTTGTTACTGTTAGTTTTCTGGACAGTGGCCAAGTAAACATACTGAATGGTTAAAAAACACACAGAGACATGATAAATTATACCGTTCTTTAGGGATTCACACACAGTGAGGCCAACAGAGGATATTCTTAGTAGAGGAACACTAAGGTCCAATACCTGTGTTTGTCTTATGCTAAAAAAAAAAACAGGTATTTGGGGCTGGGAAGGTGTCTCAGTGGTAGAGCGCTTGCCTTGCATGCTTGAGGCCCTGGGCTTGATTCCTCAGCACCACATAAGCAAAAAGAAAAAAGCCAGAAGTGGCACTGTGTCTCAAATGGTAGAGCGCTAGCCTTGAGCTGAAGAGCTGAGGGACAGCGCCCAGGATGAGAGTTCAGGCCCCACGACCAGACCCGCCCCCCCAAAAAAATAATATTTATCAAAATGAAATCCAGCAAATGGAAACAAGAGGCCAATAGGAATTTGAGAGAATCTATAATGTAGCCTTAATCCAGGCAAATCCGTTGCACTGTGTAATTTTAGGACTCTTTTTAATTGGCTTGTATTAGTTTAATAAGAGGGAATTCATTTTACTATCTCCACACATTGACACGGAATGCCTAGAAATCTTTAGTCCGTGGGTTCAAGAATCAAGGAATGTAAGGAGTAGTGCAGAACACTGCCTGGTGGGATGTAGACAGCTAGGACAGTGGCTTACATATTAACCATGTAACAAGAACTGTCCTAAGTGATTTGGCTCAATTGAACCTCCTATGCCTGGTAACTCTAAACAATGAAAGATTCACCACAAGCCTCAAATGCAGTGTATCATATAAATAATTTTGATTCAAATATTTTATAGTCAGTTAAATAAACTTAATATGAAGTATGAACCTGTAGTTGGAGTAAGGTTCACACCTTCGTATGTTTTATAATCTTGCTTTTTATGTTGGTAATGCAGTGCAGATATTCTGAGTTGTGTTCCTTGAACTCATGAATGGCTTTTAATTCACTATTTCTTATGCTTCTGGAAAACACTTTGATTTTTGTGTTTCCACAATATGAACACTAACAGAATTTTAGATAATGAATATGGAGGGGATCTGATTCATTTTTATATCCCTGAAACAGACAAACAAGAATGTCTTCTATCATATTGTTACTATTATCCATTTACATAGCTAAAGATCGTGTGACCCGTACTGAGGTAGTAATACAAGTAATGAAGTAATGCTCATCCATATGAAGGTAATAATACAAGCAATGAAGTAATGCTCACCAGGGTTATTGTTTTGTGTTTGGCCTCTGGATAGGGAATTTTAGACTGTGTATTTCTCAGGATGCTTACTTTGCTATATGTATTCCTTGGATGTCACTAGAATCCCTTGCTTCTGGGAGTTTAAATGTTTGAGTTTTACAGAAAGCATGGATTCATGGCCAGGAATTTTGAGAAGTGTAAGGTCTTTCCTTATAGGAGCTCAGCCAGTGATAACTCTCATATCTTATTGTATACAACAGGTCTGAGGAGCTATGTGGAGAAAACAACTCTTTGTGAGGGGTAGCGTAGTACTCCAGCATTGCAAATAAATCCATTAAGACTCCTGATCAGGTGGCCTACTAAGATCATTGATGTTTATGGAAGGAAAATTTTGAGGATATTCATTAATTGATGCAGTGTGTTCTGTTCTTGGAAAGATTTTACTCATTCAACTAGCAGTGACAGGTTGTTGTCTGAGCTTACCAATGTCTTATTTAGATGGGTATGATACTGAGAGAAGGTCCAAGGACTTTTCATCCTTTTGGTCTGGTATTTCTTTTTTTTTTTTATTGTGAAAATACCGTATAGAGGGGTACAATTACATGGGCATTATCAAGCATTGTTGCCTCCTCCTTTGTTTCCCCTTCCCATCCCTGGTCTGGTATTTCTTATATGCCTCTAGTACGTAACTGTCATCGGATGTTTTCTAGTTTTGATTTTTGACATTACAGGTTACAGGACTATCATATAGAAGATATTCCATTCTTTCCAAGGAGAAAGGAGATCAGTTTCACCCATGATGCTGAAAGTCATACACCTAAGTAAGAATAAAGAAGATCTCAAATGCCTCAGGTAATCAAGGGAAAGTAAATGAGTTGGTCTCCTGTTGGATATAGAGGTAAATAAATCCAAGTTTCTGGTAACATGAAATAATTAGAACAGTCCTGAAAACTTCCAGGTTTTATGCTGTCTGGGAGTACATATCATCACACAACATGGCATCAGTAGTACATCCTTAACTCTACCAAGTTCAAAGAAAGAAATACAGGATTCTATAGTTCTTTGTAACAGGAGAAAAAAGAAATGGGAAAAAGGCTGTTTTCTTATTGTGATACTCACTCAGGTGAGTGTAATGGAAAGGAGGCAGTGTATTCTGGAGTTCTAGAGAATATGTATGTGTGTGTGTGTGTGTGTGTGTGTGTGTGTGTGTGTGTGTGCGCTGAATAATAGTTATTTATTGCTTAAGACATTTTAATGTATAAATTTGGACTGCATACTTCAGAGTTTTGGGGGTATATTCTAATATACAATAGACGATGGGCTCTGCTGGGACATTACCTTAAAATTTGTCATGCCATTCAGTGTTACCTAAATCAGAATACTTGGTGTTAGTAAAGGGTATGTTTCAGGCTACATTTTCATTGGAGGATAGTTCACCTAATTCTTCATAGGTATGGCGTCTGTATTGTAAAGAGCGTAGTTTGAGTATTCTTCATATCCTTTCTTTGACTTTAGGTGTGTTTATGTCTCTAATTCCTTCTTTTTTAAAGTCCTCTCCACAGGAACAGTTACTGATTACATGCCATCAATGTGGCCTGAAGTCTGTTGAGTTCTGTTAGAAGACATTTAAAAGTGAACCAGCTTCTCTGTTGATCCTAACCATCTTCCAGGTGAATAGATCAAATCTACATAGCTTGAGTGATTCTTGCCAAAGTATATTGCCCTGAGCACTCCATATGACTTAAGTGTATGTACATTCAAAGTTGATATATTGTGATATTCCTAGAACAGTGCTGAAAATAAAGTAAGAACAACTTACGTAGTTGTCTTCACTTCACATAGCTAGGGAAGAAATCAGAGGATCCGCATGCAGGATATGATCTAAGGTGAAAAGTATAATTATCTTACTTGGGAATTACAAAGCACTTATACACATCTGCCTACTGTCTACCTATTCTATCTTTAAAGTCTAAATTCCACAATTGAGTAGATGGTACATGACTTTTTGTGATTGTCTTAGTTTGATCAAAGTAAGAATTCAGATCTATTCACTTTCCTTTCCGGAAAAATATATGTATGTCAGATTTTCTATATCCATTATCATATGGAGACAACTGTTGATGCCATCTTTTGACAAATGTCAATATAGCTGCAATGGTTATTCATATACAAGTATATAAACACATATCTTCTATATTGTTTTACACTAATTTGGGCATTTATGCTCAGTAGTGTCAGAGCATTTTTATAATATGATTTTAATTTTGAGCAATCTTCATGTTGATTTCCATGGTTTCATTAGTTTACATTCCTAACAATAGTCTGTACACACCTTATCTCCCATCCTTGCCAGAAATTACAGCTTCCTTTTTTCTAACAAATAATTTAAATTTTGACAATTGTGTGATGGAATCATAGTTCAGTTTTGACTGTATTTTTTTACTAAATATATTGAACATTTTTTCACCTATCAACCATTTTTACTTCTGAGAACTGTTGAAATTGGTTTCCCAGTATTCTTTTGCTGTCTAATTTTGTGTTTTTTATTTTGCTGAACTGGGGTCTTGAACTGATGGCCTGAGCACTGTCCATGAGCTGTTCTTCTCAAAGTAAGCACTCATACCACTTGAACTTTTACTATGTTGATTCATTTTCCTTCTCTTCCTGGTTTTCTCAGAGTTACAATGCTAAAAGATTAATATTGTTGAATTCAAGTTTAATTGTACTATGTTATGATAGAATAATAGGAAGTTATTTAAATAACTTATATTAGACAAGACAAAATTTGTCTTAAAATATGATGTCTTTTGGAGAAAGTTCTAATTATTGAGTTTTGACTCCATGAACACTTACAAACTAGAGGGCAGGCAAATGTACTTTTCATTCCTTCCTCCTATAGAAAATTGAATAAGAACCAGGTATTTCTTTTCTATCACATCCAGGTAAGTAAGAACAGAGAACATCCAAATTTGTCAGATATTCAAGATAATGAACATTTTGGGTGTCCATTAGTAAGAGTTACGGTCTGTAGAAATAGGTTCACAGTTTGGAAATGAAAATATCCTTGGAAGAGTCTTACTAAGTTCTAGAGACAATATTGATTTCTTCGATAGCACTTGTAATTTCAAAGTATTTTGGGTCGTGTCCTGCTTGGAATTGTGTGACTTCGTTGAACTATTTACGACTGGTCCCTGTGAATAGAGGAATGAGCATAAATGTCTTCATTTGTCATGGCTTTTGTTTGGTAGCAATAGAGTAGTAGAAAAGTATTTAAATAATCTTACCCTTCTTTAATATGCTCCTTGAATTTACCTAATATCTAAGATTCCATATGAAGCTTATTATGGCTCATGCTAAACTGTGGACAACTACAGTTCAAAGAGTAGAAAGTGTAGTATATTAAGTTAACTGAAAAGAATAACGACATCTAGTTTTTCTGTTTTTGTCCTGAGAGCCATTCAGGTTACTGGGATCTCTGAGGACCATGGAACATTCTGGATTAGCACTTCTCAATTCAGCATGCTATGTTTATTCTTCTACTGGAAAGGATATAGTTGTTGAATTAACCATGATTTATTTGTCTCTGATTAGATTAAGCCTCACCAATGTCTTCAGATAATGAAGATAGTCTAGTAGAGAATGTATTATGAGTTTTCTTTGTCTCTGATATACCATAAACACTTTCTTAATTTGGGTTAGCATTAAATGTTTGCCACTTTGTAGTTTGGGCATGACTATATAGTGATACTAGACTAGAAAG